GGGTGAGGTATAAATTTTGGAAATATATTAATATTTGCATATAGAAAACTAGGTGTTGAAAACTAGTCCTACATTTTCATGCATGCATGCATGTATGTATATAGGTAGTCCTCACTTAACTACCACTACTGGGACTGGAATTTAGGATGCTAAGCAATGTGGTCATTACGTGAATCATCATGTGACCAGACCTGATTTTATGACCTTTTCTGTAGTGGTCGTTAAGTGAATCACGCAGTTCCCATTGACTTTCCTTGCCGGAAGCCAGCTGGGAAGGTTGCAAATGGTGATCATGTGACCCTGCAACCACTGTAAATACATGCTGGTTGCCAAGCACCCACATTTTGATCACATGACTATGGGGACGCTGTGATGGTCATAACTTTCGGCACTGGTCATAAGTCACTTTAGCGCTGTCGTAACTTCAAACGGCCGCTAAACAAATGGTTAAGCAAGGACTACCTGTACACACACACATACACACACACACACAGAGAGTATATATTCATCACAAGCATAGGTTTGACCAAAGACCCATTTCTGGACTCGTACAAATAGGCAATACACTAAGCCTGCTAAACTTTACCGTATTATGGTAGCACAGTGGTTTCCAACCTTTTCTATGCCCCACACCCCTAGGAACTGTTTGATTAATGTTTGCACCCCCTACAAAAGTAATATCATATTTGAAGATGAAGAAGTCCAATTTCTAATACAGGTGAACAAATTGAACTTAAAAAAAAGCTTTTAACTCACTGCATAAAATTGTCACACCCCCTGAAGGGGGTGCAGGCACCACAGGTTGGGAACTTTGCACATTCCATGAACCCATGTTTCCTGAGTTCACACGTCACATCAAAACCCCTGCTTCTTGCAGAAGAAATGCTGTAAAAATCTAAGGGCCACATGCATTGACAGCATCTCATTGCTGTTATCATTAAACAGTAGCGACTTTGGCCAAAAGAGAAATAAAAGGGAAATAAAACCAGAAACACATTCATACGAACAAAGTTCTTAAATGTTCACCCAGTAAAGAGTTCTGCCAGCTTTTCTAGCTCTTATTACCGAGAGCTAAAGACATTACAGCCAAAAGAGGACCATGAGAGTTGCCTCCCACTGAGAGGGGAGGTGATCCAATTTGAACAAGCAGCAATGCTGGCCTGAAGAGGGGATCACTTCTCCCTACCCCACTGGCTTTTTAGTCTCAGCAGGAAGCAGTTTTTTTTCTCCTTCTGTTAGCTTAAGGGATTTAGAACTAGAAAATGGTGCAGCAAGAGAGTTAACTACCACCTGCTCGTGCCATAGACTCACTCTGTTTGCATCCAAATCATTTAACAGTAACAGCTTTAAATGAAAAAAACAACAACAAAGGGCAGGGGACCTACCATTTGTAACAGTTGCAGCCTTTGGTGTGATATCTGGAAGCAACTGCACATTTCGCTAGGCTTGCAGCATTGAAAGTAAGTTTAAAGCGAACTCTCCTTCGGTGCAGTTATCTCAGCTCTTCTAAAGAGATCAAGCATCTCACTTTTTGAGTATCATTTCCAGTGCTCTAAGCAGTTATGGTTTCCTGTTTGGGAAGGAGGTGAAGTGGGCGGGGGG